TAATAATCAATCAGAAAGTTTACACGAATCGCTTGGTAGCTTTTGTATTCTGTAACAACTGAACAAAAACAGAGTTCTAGATCGGGTGGTTCTAATTGCTACAACACAACGGGAGCGGTTTGATTGAAAAAATATCATTTTATCTATCGACATGCCATTTTCAAGCCCAGACAGCAAGTGTGCGTCTGTATATGAGCGCGAGAGACTTGTCAAAGGGAATTACGCTCACAGGTGAAAAGGTCAAGCTCAGCTAACCCGCACGGACAGACGAGTTGTTTTGGTCTGAAAAATGCGGGGAAAAAATGGAAAAGGTTAGCTCGCTCAATACTTTTCTGCAAAGCTCAAAGTCCCATCAGAGAGACCGAGATGGCTGGAAACAAAAGAAGCGTGGGTGTGGTGCTGTGCTGAAAAGCAGACCGTTTTTTTTTTTTTTCTGGTCTTTTTTTCTCTCCTTTTGCAGGACATTTCACAGCCCGACACTATGAATGGAGGTGAAATCTAAGAGCAGCTTTTAATATTTGTGTCAAAGAAACACGCTTTTGTTTTTTCCACAAAAAATCAATTTGTGATTTTCTTTGCTTTACACTGTGAGTTTGAAAAGAGACACAGCCTCTCTGGTCATTATGAAAATGATGAATTTCTAACCCCTTCTACAAATGAAGTTGCCGTCCAGGTCTGATTTGGCCATATGGAGGGGACGGCTGTGTGGGTCTGACCACAGCTTCCCCTGCTCTGTGTGGCACTCCCTGGACACCATAGGTGGCGGCGGGGTGAAGGGCTGTCCGTCTAGCCCCCTCCGTGGTGTCTAACAGGCTGGACAGGAGGAGGAGGCACAGCATCTGCTTCTAAAAGAAATAGATGGCTGTTGTTTTACAACCACACGTACTCACAAATACATAAAAACAAGAGCGGGCAAAGGGCATGTTTTCAGAAAAGCGCTTTGACTTTCGCCATCACATTCATTTTGATGTGGAAAAACTAATGAAAAATATCCTGTTTTCCTTGCCTGTACTAAAACTGTACGAAAGTGAGATATTGGGATCCTAGAGAGAAATTCACCCCAGGGTGTTTTTTTTTTTGGGCACCTCATACTGTGTTTACACGTGGGTGAAAAGCCCAAACACACCGAAATCTGTGGTAGTGTTTCTTTTTGACAGCCTCTGTATGAATACAACACAATGTGTTCTCCCTGATAGGATAGTGCTGATTTGGGGCGAAACTGAAAGCACAAAAGAAAACGGGACCCGTGGGACTCTAAAGGCCAGAGGCTGCGGGACAATTTAATACAGCCACGAGCAAAGTACACGGGATGAAATTTGCTCCATTTGAATGGAACCCCGCAGACACTCGCGTACAGTCGCAAATGAAACACTGAATGTAAATGGTCTGACGAGAGCCATAAATCTCTCAGTGGCTGCCGGGCAGCTGGGGTCAGGCAGTAAGCAGTCCTGTCAGGGTAGTGCAACTGTCTGAACACAGATATTCAATCTTGCGGAGGACAGCAGGGCAGCCCTGCAGGCTCAAAACTCAAATAGGTCCCTGCAATGCTCTGTTTAATTAAATAAGAGGTTCGTTTCAAACTTTGGACAGGGAAAACTTTTTCTGTAACCCTAAACAAACTACAGTCACATCTTAAATTTGAAAAAATGCCCTTTTGGCTTTTGTCATGTAAGAAACTGCAACATTTCTTTATCATTTTGTTATTATTGCAGTCTTTTAAAACACTTTATATCCCAACCAAACCAAGCTTACTATAAAAAATAAAAGAATATAAGTTAGGTTCACTCATTTGACAAAAATACAGCAGACCTGTTAATGCTTTTTGTTGATTTCCCACCCAAAAATGAGCAGTCAGATCAGGTCATGGAGCGGATCTCCTTATTTCATCTCAAAAGGAAGATATGATGTTACGATTCTGGAAGGCAGATGTGGGCATATAATGATTTTATAGCCCAGAAGTTGCGCTTCTGGGCTCAACTGTCTGCCCAAATTTATGGTAAAGAGTTTATGATAGCACCAAATGGTACTTCTTTTTTTTTTTTTATAGGGCCGCAGAGACTGGACTGCAGTCTGCTTCTCTGCCGATCAGAATAACTCACCGAACGAACATACTTCCAGCAACAGAATAACAACATCGTGGCACGTTTCCAGCATGAAATAACAAAGCTACCAGCACAGCAACAGATCATCTACTTAAGGGTGTATCACCGGGTCTGTTGCACTGTGCACCTGTTCCTTCAGCCACTTTTTCAGCATCCTTTTGTTTTTAATGAGCACAGAGTGTCTTTTTGTGAAAACTGTTTTAGCGAAGCATATGTTAGGTCAGTGTAAAACAAAAGAGAGACGGATAGACAAAGAGCAGATACAATGAAGGTTGTAGAGAGTATAAAAAAGAAAAGAGTAGAGATGAGTGTGGAATGATAAAAACAGACAGAGACACAGGGATTGTTCGGGAGTCTCCCTGGATTTGCAGAATCCCCTCAGCCTCCAGTTTCAGGACAAAGTCACACTGACACACTTATTGCCTGGTGAGCCCCCTTTCTTTCTCTCTTCCTCCGCTGTTTCACACTGGTAATGAGAACGGCGGGTGTCCGCCTACATTAGTACACACAGACACACCATCAAATGTTTTAAGAGTAAACGGGTTCTCTCACGTGCGTTTACAATGAGCCACTCAATAATATTGGATGCCCACCGTGTTGCCAGGATGTTTGCCGTGCCATGTTCAAATAAGAGAAAAAAAACCAGATGGTCATTTTTGTGTTTGTTCCAGACACATTTCCCCAGCAAACACAATGTTTTGTATTGCATTTCCCAATATTTAAGCCAAGTGCCCTGCCAACAGCCATTTTGTTCAGGACCCCATTATAATGAAACATGAACACACACAAAGGAGGATCCATTTTTCTCCCAACAGCTTTTAGGAATGATTGAAGAAATAGGCATTTAGTTCTTGTTTTTGGTGTTTTTTCCCCCGTTTTTTTTAATGGCTGCCTTTACATCCACAGGCCAAACTGGGAAGTAGAGTAGTTGTTCTTAGGAGTGGCTTTTAGACTTCAAGTGCAGTGACATTGACATCTGCACTGAACTGTACACACCCCACTCAGGTAGGAATCTGTAAGGTCATCACTGAGGTGGAAAAAATCAACTTTAGCACTGGTCCCTGTCACTGCATCTCTCTCAACTATCAGCTTTTCCTTCGTTTCTTATGTCTGAAACCAAATACATGCTATTCCTGGTTTAAGCCAGAGCCCCACTATTATTTCTTTATCTTATACTGGACTTAATAGTTCGAGATAGTAATCAATCTACATTATGGCCCATGAAACTGAGTTTAAGGGGTCTCTAAGCATAATTTAATCAAAATTCTATTTAAACCCTGTCTCTGCATTTCAAACTGGTTACATTTCTAAAGTAGGATTGATAAGGTACTTAAGACATGTTTGTTTAAGCAAGTAAATTTTCTTAAACTTTACAACACAAAGGGAGCCACAACCTCCCACAGTTTCCTTTAATTGAAGCAGCTAATTTCCTTGTACTCCTCCTCGACATACAATGCAAACATCCAACATCTCATTAATTCACAGGGGCATTAAGTGTGAAATTGAAATTATCTCCAGGTTGCAGCTCTGTGGGTATGGTCCTTAAAAGCAGCATCCAATAATGGTGGAAGGTCACCACGGCGACAACGTGTTTGTTCAATTTTTAAGAGCCCATAACACAATAGATACCATGTCACCTTTGAAAAATCATTATCATCAACCAGTTGGAAACAAGTGCCAAATAACCAAAATGAGCCAAATGTTAAAATGTCTTCACATAATAAAAATTCATTCTTTGGATAATAGCATGGGATGACAGAATATAGTTTGGAGAACAAACCAGCCACGCCACCCTGCCTCATCATGCTGTATTCAGTTTCACTGGTGTATGTGACAGCGTAAGACACTAAATGATGAATGAATCCTGGCCTGTGTTGTTCCCAACCAGAGAAAAAACCTCAAAGCATGTGCCTCCCCACAGACCGCTTCACACAAACATAATACTATCATCAAAAACAGTCTGCCTTCATGGTGAGGCTCGAGTTTGGGCTTAGAACCAGCTAATATATCACTTTTTTAACCAAAAAGCAGACAGGGATGTGTGAACGGTGTTAGTCTTTTTAATAATGTTTCTCAAAAAATTCCCACTTGCTCTGACTATCTAATCAACACACTCCAGTTAAGCCCGATGCAAAATGACTAGTTGTTAATTCACCTCATTTAACTGCTCATAATTACAATGTAATAGTTTGAAACAATTAAGGGTGTGTCTTTTAAAAAAACAAAACAACTCTTTTCACAAATGAAAAATGTGATTATTTCTCTAGTTTTTGTCTTTAGCAACTTTCAACAAAGATAAACAAACTCACTCTACATAAGCCAAAGAAGGAGAAGTTTTGATGAGATGCTCGAGTTAATGGAGAGGATTTTTTACATGGCAGCAGTGACAGAAATCCCATTGTGTTGCAGGTCAAGACAATCATCACACGGGGAAACAGCCCAGCACATTTTCTGCTCTCTTTTTTTATGTCTTTTAGATTGTCACAGGCGGAGGAGATGAGGTGAATTCCCCTGAAGCCGGCCGGGGAAGAAGAGCCGAACTTGTTCTCACATCTTCTGCCACTGAGGAGAGATAACTAGCTCCACTCACTTTGATGGTGTGACACACACACACACACACACACACACACGCTTGCTGTTTCTCTGTCCGACTGCTTGGAAATAACTAATTTCTGTACATCTCTGTCTTGTCTCTTCTATTTGTTTCCATGCTCCCTCCCTGAAACATGCTGCTCCCTTTCTCCTCTGACTTTGCTCTGTCCATTCCTGTTAGGGTGTCTCCCTGTTGCCCTCCTTGCTAATTGGAGGATGATACAGTTCTTCTCATTCTTGCCTCGGCTTACATCATCGCCCCCGCTGTCATCGTGACTTCTCCCACCTCCTTTAAGTCTCACTTACCTGTGCGATCTCATAGAGCAGTTTGTAGTGTTCCTCTCGTTTCTGCAAGGTGCACAAATTGCAGCCCATTCTAGTTGTCAGGGAAACGGTGCCGAGTGCCCGCCGGAGTGTGTGCGCGTTCTGCCGTGTGTGTGAGCTCCCCCCAGGGCGATACACACTCGGGCTCCTCTTCCTTGGCTCCCCCTACTCCTCTTTCTCATCCGTGTATCTTCAGAGATCCCCTCTCTCTACGGCTCTGAGCATGTGTCTCGGTGCAGAATTTGAAGCTACAAAGTGTGTTTTCTGTGAGTGTGTCGGCTAGGTAAAGCGCACCTGGCTTCCCTTTCCCTCTTTCCTGTCACTCCTTTCCCCTCACTCTCAGTCGCATGCCTACAGACACTCTCTCCTCCACCACCTCCTCTCTCAGTGTGAGCTCACTCTCATCGTACACACACTTCTTGGCTCGTGGAGACACACCTCCTCTTGTGGCAGGCTGCCTACACATGCCCGCTCCCATTTCCAGCTCATGAATACACAGCCACCTCATTGGCTGGTGTAAGGGGAAGGGGTGTGAGAGAAGAGGGGAGGGGGGACTGCTCTTAAGTTGGGAAGAGTCAGGGACTGAGCATCAGCGTAAAGTGGGAGCAAGGCGAAGGACACAGTGTGTGTGTGTGTGTGTGTGTGGGCTCACCTGTACGAGCAGAAGAATCTCTTTTAGCCTGCGTGAACACATTATACAAAGCAATACAAAAGCCTGCATCTTTAATCCGATAATACCAACCCTTAAAGAGCCCTTAAAATGCAGTCTTTGCAGTTTATCAAGTTCATGAGAGGGCTATTTGTCAGGGCGCACATTTAACAACTGGACTTGGCATCTAAATCAATCTCATTTGGATTCAGTCCGATAACCTTTTGCGCTCTGCATGGTGTTTGGAGGAGTGGTGTTTAGTGGCCGCCATGGATTTACAGTCAGAATACGATAGTCCTCAAGCAGATGCTTCCTCTCTCCGCCTGCAGTCAGACAAGGGCACTGGACTAGGCTGACACACAGGAAGAAACACAGACCGCTATCGATTGGCTTCAAATTAGCCTCCAGTCCTACTGCCCCAGCTCTTTGGGGGCAAGAGGACTGAAGCGAAAAGAGAACAGCAGAAACAGGAGACTGGAATAATATGCACAAACCATTTTTTTTCTCGTAGAAATGTAGAAAAATATAATATTGGGCAATTCTGGCAACGGTTTACACACATTTTCAGCCTAAATGCTGCCATTTTTTCTTCATTTACAAGTGGTATCTATTTATTATGAATAATAATTACTCATTATTTTATTTATATTCTATTGTAATGCATCATGTTCACTGGCTAATAATGCAAAGTGTGTGACATAGCGGGACTTTTCATTCAGGAAGCAGAAACTCTCTCCAGATGACAAATAGCTGTCACTGTTGGGACTGTGAGCCGACACCTCAGATGCATCATGCTTTTTATCTCCACGCATTCGCGCACAGAGGTCATAACGGCTTATTCAAGGGCTTCAGAGCAGATCCAGATACAGCTGCCAATGTGACACTTCACCATCTTTCTTCTAACAATTGTTTTTGCCGTCCTGTGTCATGGAAAAGGTTGTTGCTCTCCACTAACCTCTGCAGATTGCTTTTTTGGGGACGTCTTAAATTCATTTCAAGGTTCTTTCCAGTCATATTTGCTGTCAGCATTTTGCATCCCTTTATTGGTGAAAGTTTATCACTCCAATTGAATGCTTATAGTTTTTGTGTTAGAATACCAATAGTAGCTAATTCTGACCAAGCCATCACTGTGCCTTTTCCATGAATTCAGATTTACTGATGAGCACACATGGCTAGATAGCAACGATATGTGTGTAAGGAACTAAATGGATTGCATGCAATCAGGGTTTGCACGTTTAGAGCATCTACACATCACACCTGTATTTTCTCTGAGACACAAAAAAACTGCTTAACTCTTGATACAGAATCTGCCGGGTGAAAGAAAAATTCATGACTGCAATCAGCAAACGTAAGACAGCTGTCAAGCTGTCGTGTCACATGATGAGTAACAGCTCTAAACCACTTTGCTGGAAGGCAAACAAGGTTAAACACTTGGGAGGGCCGAGATATATACCGGCGGTTTGGATTTATAGCATACAAGAAATATGTTCCGAGACAACCAGGAGGGAGAGTTAAGTGCATTGATCCTGCTTTGAACAATGTCAGATTGAACTGAGATAGATGCACACAGTAAAATATTATACATAACAATTTAAAAAAGTGGTGTTTTGTTCATTTTATTGCATACCCTTTTGATTGTTCATAGCAATCGCTTTCTATTGAGCCAAGAATTTGCTCTCCTTCCATCATCTGTCTTATTGGTCTTGAGTAAATGAGATGCTGGATAGGTTCATGCTCTCACGGAAAATTGAAAAGACCTGTGTAACTCCAAGAGACATTGAATTTAAAACGCCCAGGGAAAATAAATTGCAGGCTTTCGTACACAAAATGTGACTTCACATTATGCGTGAGAGCTGGACTGGCAATAACAGCAGAAAATGGTGTCATACCTGGAAAGTTGCACGCTCAATAAATTCCCTGACAGGTGGTTAACTTTATCGTGAGTGGGGCTGAGGTGCCTTCAAACGGGAGCGCTGGTCATTTTGTGTTTTATAGTGAAAGCTCTCGCTGGGATCAGCCTGTCCGTCAAAGGTTAACCAAAAATAGCTCGCTGGAGAAGGAAAGTGTTGCACTTCAAAGGCCGTCTGTAAACCCGCATTAGCATAATGTCTTTATGACTGAGACCGAACGAAAACGGGCCACTTCACACAGTTCTGTGCAACGCTCTGGACTGTAAAGTGTCCTTTTATATGAGGAAATTTCAGAGTTCTTCGGTACTGCAGGCAATGGCAGCTGTGTGAACCTGCATCCAGATATGTAAAAGGCTGTGGTGCATAGTAATTGCAGAGGGCTGATTTAATCAGGAGCAACAGTCGCTCTTTGGTCACTCAGTTAAGTTACTTGTGCAAACTTTTTGGTCTCTTTGCACCCCAAAAATGCCTCAAAGCATATTGATGTAAACAAGGCTGAGCAGGTGCAAAGGGGCTTCTTCTGGGATCTCATCCCGTGACTATCAATCTTCTTCTGCAGTGGAAGCAGCAGTCAGAGCTTTGACACTTCCAGAACATATTTCTAAATCCCAACAAATGCTGAGGTTTGATGGTCCATTAGATGTCACCGCATGTGCACAAAGATCACTCCAAAACAGCCGAGCAGCTCAAAGCCAATGGCGTGAGAAGAGCCCGAGGGCGCCCCACACACGGCTCTCTAAAGCCATAACCCATGCATTATTTAACAGTCGGTGCCACTCATGTAGGTAAAAACACAATTAGAGTGCTGCTTACAACAAGAAGCTGAAGGGCGCAGGGAAAAACTGGTGCATGATGGTAATTGAAAAGCGGCATCCGTTTCTTTTGTTTTTTTTTTTGTTCTCATAATTACATTTTAACTATTCATTAACGTCTTAATTACTTTGGAGGAGGCTAACCCTCAGATGTAAAGCCATCACAATGACTGTCTCTCCTTCACTCATTGTCTCGTCATCCTGATTGTTAAAGCCAAATTATTGACTCTGTTTAAAAAAAAGGAGCAACCGCAATCAGTCATTTTGTTATCAAATTCTGAACATAGTTATAAGAGAAACAAAAGGCTGCCAAACCACAAAAGTAGTAAAAAAAAACAAAAGACAGAGCGATTAAACTGGGACCCATTCAGTAAAACTCAGAAGGACACTTTGTACGTAATTTGCAGACAAAATCACTCATTAGTGCTTTGTTCTACACACAGTGTGTTTTAAAGTCCACAGTTAGTTATTTACCTTTTGAGGAAGCAGATAAATTCCCTCATCTTTGTGTCATAATGAGCCCATTCCGAGTTTTATTTGGCACTAAGCGAAGCAGCTCTTTAATGAAGCAAAATCACTGCTTAATCACTGCCAACACTTACTTTTCATTGCACCACTAAACAAAAAAAAACAAGAAAATTGGAATATTTCACAATCCCTCTTAAACTGCTATGACCAGGAAGCAAAATGCACTTTGTTTGGTTAAGTTTTACATTCAATTTATGAAAAAAACCTACAAAATAGAGTAGAAGTGGGGGGAATATGAGACTCGAAAAAGCCAGCAGCCAAACTGGCGTCTGACCAGCTGACCTCACACAGCGTAAGCCGTGCAGGGTCAAGCAGCCCTTAAGGGTGGAGTCGGCCTCAGGCACCGAGACACAGGTTCAGATTTCCCTCGCCAGCTTTGCTTTGACTACTGAGCAGCATCAATACACACTGCTGACTTTGAATGAACGTACGAGGGACTCTGACCCATTTAAAGGTCAGATATGCCTCTCGGTCGTTTGTGGAACAAAATAAGAATTATGTAGTTTTATATGTATTATTTATGAAGTTGTTGGTAGTTTAACTCTAATGAAGACAATTTAATTCTATTCTAAGAGAATTAGAATATAACCATGAAATGGATTAATGAAGTATTTTATGAGGATATCAGTGGCAAGTAGATTAAAATCTAGACATTTAGACATTTATTGATGTTTCGTTGCTAAAAATTTTACTCTCGTAGCCAAGAAATTGACATTTCGTTGTCTAATTCACCTCGTGTTTTTGACAATGACAATAAAGGATGTCTATCTGTCTATCTATGTCTATCTATTTAGTCTTCCTCAGAATTCTGCAAACTTGATTATTCATGGACAAAGACACTAATAATCGTCTTCCTTCTAAACGTTTGTGTCAAACATTGTTAAATGGATATAAAACTTAACAATTCTGTTAGCTGCTATCGTGGACACAGATCCACAATTCACTTGCTGCTCCAGTCTCTTCACCTTTTGGAAAAAACTTGAAACTGGACATCCTAAATCATTTCTGTGTGGGATGTGTGTGCAGGGGGTGAGGTGTCTAACAGCTCAAAGGTCCGTAGACGTGTGCACGCACGAGATTTGCATTTATAACAGCGTGTTGTGATCTCATGCTGCCACGCTGGAGCTCGTCTGCCACACAGCTGAGTCTCAGGCTTCCCCCTGAACAACGTGTGTGTGTGTGTGTGTGTGTGTGTGTGTGTGTGTGTGTGAGGGTAAAAAAAGAGGCTGAGAGGCATCACTGTCTGTGCTCTAGCCATAGGGTATCAACATATACAGATTCCCTCTGTGTATTCACACACATATATTGCACCGGGGTGCCGCCGGGCTCTGGGCCTGACCCTGTTGTGTTAACCCAATAGCTTAGCTCCAATAAAACTGATTAGAGAAGTCTTCCCCTGCTGCTGCCCGATCCTGTTGCTAGACTAATGGTACGAGCGGGCCCCTTAAACTTTCCACAGCATCTGTGCCCGTATCGAGCTGCGAGGATGGATGGAGCACCGGGGCCAGGAGACCACTGCTGGAGCCCTGAGGGAGGAAAACAAAAGACAGACAGCACAGCAGATAGGTAGAAAAGACTTTTTGAACTCCCCTGTTTCTCTATCGGAGTTCCTCTCCATGCAGCAGAGGGCAGAGAGGCCTTGCCAGCTGTTCCCCTATTGTCCAGGTGCTTAACGGGATTACAGAGGGGGCAGAAGGCCAGCCTGAGCCACACACAAACGCATTTCCATACACGGACATGACCTAAAACTTCAAAGGTAGACCGACAAGCGCAAGGACACGTCTTCTTGCCGCTTTATGGATGAGGACTTCAGCAAAGCTCAGCCCTAGCATGCTGATGTTCCTCTGTGTTAACACCCAATGGGCGTAAACACAATGCACAAAATATATATACGTTTAAGATCCATTCTGCATAAAATGTAAGACAAGGATCAATACGTTGTGAAAAAACAGCCTGCATTTCAGTTTTTGTATACTCTTTCTTCCATGAAAAAAGGCTATTTTACACCAGGTCAATTCTCCATATCTGACACTTGGATGAGGTGGTATTAGATTCCAACATTTTTTTTTTAGTTTAGACCGTAATTCAAATTGCGTATAAAACATCAAAATGGAGATTAGGTTTTGCTCTTGCACAAAACCTTTAGCATTCTATTTTTCAGTCTGTATAGCTTTTTTCCCCCCATTTTTTGTTAGCCTGAAGGTTTTGCCTGAATGGAGCCCTTTTGATCCTTATCTCTTGCTCTGTCTAGGCTTGAAAAGACCCTTTATGAACAAATGCACCATTCTCTGGCAGGAGCAGTAAACATCCAACCTCTGTCTCTGGCATTTTCCACTATCTGGAGGAATATATTTTTGATTTACAAAAGCCTGTATGTAGGGCTGTTACAATTGACATTGCTTTCATTCCTCCTACAAAGATGTCGAGCTGCCTGTCGGTGCTATTATTTATCCCGGGTCTTTGATCTTCAACCTTATTGCCTTGTTGTAAATAGCTTTGTTGAAAATAATCTCAAAGTCATGGAAATAAAACTACATGTTGCTTACCATAATTATGTTTATATGACTGATAAACATCCATAACTGGGAGCATGAGGCTTTTGAAAAATGATTTTCAACCTCCTGTTCCTACATCTTCAACATCTTTGACTTGCATAGTCTCCCTTAGTGGAGGACATCCTTTTGGATTTTTATCAGCGCACTGGCTGGCTTTAAAAGGGCTCCCCCGATGTGAATTAATGTGGCCTAATCTGCCCCCCCCCACCACACACGGTGATAAAGCAATGTAAGAGACGGAGCATGTTTGGTCAGAAGACCAAAGATTAGTCGTAGGCCACTGCACTCGAAGTCTGGTCTGATTTCCCGCGTGCCGTCTCACTTCCTGCTGCTGGTGAAACATTTCCTGTCTAATCCTGACTGCAGGAGAAGCTCCTGCCTGAGGGGAAGATAAGGAAGTGGCTATTGTCTCCCTGATCCTTCTTAGGCTGGTATATCGAGGTGATGCACAAGTCAGTGTGCCGACTTGGTGTGCTCCGGCCTAAAAACAATGCCTAACTACCACAGGAAAGGTTTTTTAAAGAAAAAATTACATCAAATGTTCTTTTATTTTCTTCAGAAAAACTTGAGTATAAACAAGACGGAGGAAAAAACTGTCCTCTTTGTAATTCCCGGTACATGTGGTTGACAATTGTTTTCATTACAAGGCATTTATCAAAGTGTACATGTTTTTTTATTCGGTTTGTTGCATCTGCATCAACGGGCATCAGAGTCCATGCTGTGAATGAGCATTCAGTATTGATTCTTGACCACTGGTGTGTTGGACTAACGGGCTGCAGTTGGATTTACAGTCAATACACTCACTAAGGAGCCGATTGTAGAACATACAGTAATTTGACAAATCCCTAGGAACACAGATCCATAGAACACAAATCTGTCCTGTCAGATAATGGGAGCTTTATGCTCATAACCGTTACTTGAGCTCCCTTAATCAAAGTTTGGCTTCTTGTACAACTAATAGCTTGTAGCATTACATTATTGAACTGCAGTATAAGCCTGCGTGGTGACACATTTTCAACCTATTTATGCAGTTTTAAAGAGGCCATAAACCTGAAAATGTACAGAAATGTAAGGTTTTACATTCCAGGCTATATTAAAGGAAAAGAAAGAGCTGATGGCACATCACGTTATGTCAAATTGTGAAATGGACAGAAAAACCCAAGCGGAAATTGAATGGCTTGTTTATCGGTTTTTAGCATCAACAATCTTCTGAGACAAATGGTGTTACAGTCATTCTACATATCTTAAGAATCCCAGTGTCTGAATGACTCAAGGGCCTTTAGCAATAGCTGAAGATAGTCAGAAAAAGTGTTTTATCTTTATTTGTTAATGTCTTCGATATGATTCACACTCACAAATAAATATGACCGATTGCTCCATATACTGGACATGTCTTGAGGGTCATGCAGGTCTCAGTGGTCGTCCAAAATAACCAATAAAACAGTTATTGTTCCCTTGATGACCATATGGAGAAAAGGAGAACAGCTTTACGAGAAGAAGATGAGCCATCACTCATTCATTTTGATTGAAGACAAAAAAACAGTCCCAAGAGGATCAGTGTCATAGTTGGGACAATTTACATTTTTGGGTTTCGATAGCTCAACTTTAACATATTGTTCATGGAAAAAAAAAAACACGAGGGTGTGTAATTCAATTCAAGCAAAAGGGACAACAAGCCTTTTGTTAAAGTTACATTGAAGGACATCAGTTTGATATATTGACATATAGTTGATTATATATGTTCTACACGGTTGAAAGCAGACAGAATACAGATGGTTTGAAACAAATGCAAAGCTATAACACCAGCTCTTTTATGACCCCAGAGGTCAAAAGGATGGAGGGGTCAGATGGCCTCAGTCTTTACGATGTTAATGAGGATCATAGAGGAAACCCTTTTTACAAGCATACAACCACACACACACACACACACACCAATAATTTTGTTTCATATTGACTGCATCCACTCACTGACCTATGACCTAATTAAAACACAATTCTCAATCTGAGTTCTTGGAGAGTGAATATGAGGAAATATTGCAGTTTTTGGGGAAAGTGATGCAGATTGACACCAGTATTCTTTGGACCAGTATTCAGTCTAATTACAGTAAATGTTGCTACTTTTACATTGCTTAATCTTTCTGAAAAGCAAGTAAAGCAAAGATGTATTCTGTTATTCACTGTTAAAGTGCTAAAAAAGAAGCCTTGAAAAAGGGTAATATGTGTATTTATGATTCGAGAAGTAAATAGTGAAAAGAATTAATTAGGTGCAAAACTTTGCGATTTACTGAAAAGTGATAAAGAAATCTGTTATGATATTTCAAGTGAAATTTTTGTTGATCTTGAATTTAAACGATAAAAGCTGTTTTCTTTACTTCAAAAAGTCAAGCTAAGATCACATGCTGACTGGTTACTTTGCACTTATTTTTAATCCTCGGGTTTAATATTTTTTAAACTTATTTATTTGGTCCTACAGATGATAAAGGCATTTTAGCAGTGACAACGGAATGAAAGAAATACGCTTCATGCTGCCATGACCTGATCCACAATGGCTGTACCAAAGGTGGTAGATGTCTGCATTTGGTGTTTACAGCTTATTTGTACCTTTCAAAAAATGCAATTTTGTTTTCTAATCCAGCAACAAGAGCCTTGGCAGTTGTTTACGATCCAATATCAAGCCATGTTTTTACAACCGCACTGGACGGGGAAAAGCACAGAAGGTCAGCGTGTAGGTTTTTTTTTATGATTACATACCAATAGTGAAAGTCATAAATGTTGTCAAAAGCATTTTACAACACATCCACTGCTTGTTAAAGGCAAATCAGCCTGTCACAGATTATTGGACTTCCCATATTTCTATGAATTAGCACCCAGTGTGCCAATGTGCATTTTGCACCATATGCCTGTCAAATCATTGTCATT